TAACTACAGATTACGCCGCGTACGTAACCAGATTGCATGTAGTGATCCTATATTACTGATATTTAAACGCTTAATGTCAACGCTTTGTTAAGGTTAATTACGACTGACAAACATACAAACAAATCTATGATTCAAATTGCATTTGCACAAAAGGAAAATAAACAAGACGTTATAACACTGTTTTGAGGTTGCAATGCACCTTTTCCTTTTGTTTTGACAGAGGTTTTGTTAACACGCTAGTTGTCTTTAAAATGTCTTGTTCATCCTTTTTTTCTCTCTCATATAACATTTGTTTACAATTCAAAGCTTAACTTGAATTTACAATCCCAAAAATAGCATCAGTTAGGTAAACTGTTTTTTATGATGTTTAATTCTAAAATATCACTAGATTGAAAATGTTCACTTCTAATTTGAATTCCTGTAACAGTGAAAAATAACTGACATGGCAATAATAAGGTATTTATATGACGATAATTTGCATAATGACGAAATGATTAATTTTAATTGGTAAACTTTTCTATTTCATCTGGATTTTCTTTCTGATATTAAATTTCTTAGATAATAATGATAACTCAACGTTTTGGTAAACTGTTAACTGTCTTGTGCTTGTGACGTTAAATAAACCGCTTCGAGATTGTTCAGTATGAAATCTTATTAGCTATAAATGTTTTTTTTTATTGAATTCCTGCATTTTAACACGACCCATAAACAGTGAATATATAATTGCTTTGGGAACAACTTGGTTTCTATATAATCATATTATGAGTAAGTGAATCGTTGAAACTGGTCCATGTTCTCAAAATCATAAGCATCCAGTATCTAAACAACTGCATAGGATGTCCAAAACAACACGCAAAACATAACTCGTATGACATATCGGAAGCTCCTATTAATGTCCCCTGTATTATGTTACAGTCTCGTTTAAATGTCGGGTCTATGCATCAATTTCTTCGCCACTTACATATACAAATCCAAAGTAAAGCCAAAAGAGAGTTACTGACAAAAAGTGTCATTCTTTATTCATGTTATTTGTTGATATTCACATTGTGGATTTATTTTCAATTGATTATAAAATTTACTATTGTCTTACAATTTACAATATAGACAATTAGAAATATATAAAACAATTATAAAATGTGCCACTTCCGCCAAACATTTATAAACATATATACCAATTATACAATTGTACAGCAGAAGAAATGGAATAAATTTACATTCTAGTTTGGACATTCGTCCCTGAGCCAAGTCTTTTTCAGTTTTTAGATGATATTCAATACCCGCATCTTTAACAATATGGCACACATAAAAGCATAAACATCAAACTCTAAAAAGAATTGGAATCAGAAAGCTGAATGACATATCAAGTCATTTGTAACTCTAGTGACAAGCGAATTATGATTAAATACACGAATTGTTTTTATCCCTTTTATTTCGGAACCCTTCGAATCATCATTTTTGTGCTTTTCAGTGGATAATAAAATCTATATGTTTGCCATACGATTCCTGTCCGAGAGTAACTGCTTATTACGTATAACCCATTAAGATTAGAATGATAGCAATAGTTGTACCACCAGGCGCCTTGATGTCGAACAGCACAGACAGTATTACCATTATCTTTTGTACTGAATGGCAGACCGTTGTGGTTAATCAGCGAATCCCCTGTAAATAGATGTGTTAGTCAATACAAAAAATATAAAGCGATGGGAATTAATATATAACGTAAAACAAAGAAATATTCAACCGATTAGCGAGTTCTAGGATGGAATAAATAACTAGCATGAAATAAACAGTCTCTGAATAGGAACTCCAGGTGACGCAAGCGGTCTTCATTAATTATTTTTCGAATATTTTCAAATCCCAAAAATTATTTCCAAAAAAAGCATACACTTTTTTGTTGATTATATATATTCTACCTTGAAAAGAGTAACGGAAGTCTGTTACGCGTCTATCTCAGGGTCTATACGTCTATAATAAGCAAGGTGACCAAGATAGAAGTATTTAGAATATCTGGCCTAAGTATTTCATTCAGGCTGTTCTTTTTCGCGTGCAAACATTCCTCACGTTATATTTTTTTTCATTTCCGCAACAAGTTGTACGTTGCTATCCTTTCTGGGCAGCGGTCGATTTAATCTGGATATATTTGGGGAGTACTTTTCATTTTCAGTCCACATTTCGCGTTGAACAATAAACACTGACGTCATGCTTTATACCAGATGAATATTTCAATCAATCAAAACTACCAATCTACTGACATCGCTTCTCATTACATAAAATCCCCATTTGACAGATTTACAAACAATATTTCATGTCACATTCGCGGTTAGTCCGGCGGATCATTATAACTGAGAGCTTTGCAGATTAAAAGTAGATATAGAGGATAAATAGGAAACGTTTTTGTCCGCTACCAAATTCTCAAAAACATACATTATGAAACCGTATAATCTAATTCGACGAAGGAAATCATCTTTGCTTGCTTGCTTAATTACATTTGCGGGGGAGATGTTTCGACGGGCGTTAGTGTGTCGGAATATGATACATCCACACGCATGGTCTATCGTTCAATTATACGTGGTAATAAACCAATGAAAAGTGTCGTTACATCAAAGACGTGGTAGAATATATAAATATGGAATATGAAGTTAATATAAAGTTGTGAAGGTTGTCATCACAACAGTCTATAAGTGTATAATACACGTCTTATATGAACCAACTATTACGTTTATAATTAAAAAATATTGTAAGTTAGGACGGTTTTAATGGCAGTTTTTCTGCCATGAGTTACTTCAGATTATTTGCTTAAAAAATGTAGATGATTTGCTAATGGCTATTTTAAGAAATCGATAATCACCGAAAAAACACTCTAAATGACGTCTTTTAGAACTTGCCACGTGCATAGGGTTCGGCCAATGCGTTTGTGCGATTATATTAAGTATAAATTTAGTTTAATTTAGTTTATTCCGACCGCAGGCATATCTGCCTCTATATTCAGATCATGGTCCATATTTCTTTAATCATAATAAATATGTATATATAGGATCTTACATGACTTTCCAGTCCATGTGAGATTTATGAAACAAGTGTAAGAATTTTTCAATTTAGCGAGCTAAAATGACACATTCGTGACGAGTTTTAAAAAAAATGGTATGGAAAGTCATGTAAGATCCTTTATATATATTATGATTAGATAAATATGGACTTTGATACGAAATTAAAACGAGTGTAAGCTCCTTTTTATCAAATAATGAATATTTGTGGCATTTCTTCGTGACAATTCTCATGCAGCCTTGTAATGTAAACAGCCGCCGTTAAGACTCCGTTGCGTTAGTTTGTGACGTCATGCACTTGTCCTAGACGTTAAGTCATAATTGAAACATTTGAAACTTACAACCAATCACTGGGCTGAAGGTTAATATTCAATGGATAACACAGTACATTATGCGATAAATCAATGTCTTTAATGTGATGTCACTCCAATGTTGTTGTGAATCTCCTCTCATCACTCCCCCAACATTTATCAATGCGTTTAAGTCAGGTATAAATTTTATTAGTTATCTCTGAATTAAGAATGGTCTACGGGCTCATAGACCCCGAGCCGAAGACGAGGGGTCTAACAAGACCAAAGGGGTCTATAAAACAGTAGACTCCTCTTAACCCAGAGATAATGAGTTTGTCACCCTGACAATCTTTTTTCTGTAAAATTATAAGTCACTTTGTGAGTTTGTGTTGTACATGTACTTGACTGCTACCAAATAGCCCCTACAACAAAAATCTTTTCAGCCATATTTCGGACATACATAACCATCGTGGTAGTACGCACCCAAGCGGCCACTCATTGCCTGTTGTGTTGAAAATGCTGTCGTTTTAGATTGATTGTAGGCTATTTCTTCCTGTGAATGATTAGCAAACCTCGTACGCGTGTGTGTGTCGGACGCTATTTTTGTTGTTATGAAGAGAGATTCTAGTTTGAGTTAACTCCCCTCGCACGTGCTTTTATAGAGCGGGGTCTATAGAAAATATATCCAATAAGAGAATGCTACAATTTAGAAGGGTGACAAATATTTTCTACACTTATCAAAACAACCCTGAGTAATCTTTCACTAAAACAACTGGTAGTTATCGAGTTAAATAGGTTGAAATCAATTTATGATAAACAAATTATTATTTAAAGCAGTTCAGGACGGTTTGTTATATTGGATATTGGCTTGTTATAAACAGCATCCATTCTCTATCAGATACAGGTTGTTTGAATATATATGACGTTATCGACCAAGTTGCAGAAAGAATATTGATTTAAGTTCATTGTTTTAGAGAGGGAATACAATCTCGGATTAAATTAATCATATCCCATTGTCGCATTTTCATATTTGCATCATTAAATATAATGATAACTGTAGAAGTATTCATATGTCAGATTCCAAGTAAAATATTCAATTTATTTCATTGGCGGTTAGCACGGGATCTGAAAGTCGACTTGAATAAGAGCTTTCCAATTAATTCAACGTGAAAAGCCCAAACCATGTGATAAGTGTACTGATGTTGTTTATTTACAGGCACAGTGGTTTAGTGGTAGGTAGCTGGACTCGTGACAGGAGGGTTGCGGGTTCGAGTCACGGCACGGCACTGTGTTGTATCTTTGAGCAAGATGCTTTACTCCACTTGTTCCTGTCTACTCCCTTTAACCCCGATTAATAATTTGTGAACCGCATTGAGACGACATACGAACTAGGCTGAGATAAAGCGGTATATAAGAACCTCGAACTATTATTATTATTTTTTTACATTGTCGTTCAACAATGTTAAAGAAAAACTCTCAAACATGTCAACATTACCTAAATCATCGAAATGACACCGTATTTTATACTATACATATCAGTTAATTTCCATCGTAAATGAATTTGCGATAAAGTGCTTTACATATATTGTCATCACCGTACCATCATAAGCAAACGTAGACATATCAGACTAATTTAGTTACCTTCATCTCCTGAATAGCCCGATATGTTCAATCGATAGCTATCAGTGGCTTTCCCTATGGTGAACCTTTGGTATTTGGCATAGAAAGGGATGTTTTGAAAATCCTCCATATCGAATCACAGTTCAGTATCTTCTGCTGATGTGAGAGCGTGTATTTGTTCATTTCCTGACAAAGGAAGTGTGAGGATAGAGCTAATGTTAAGACATCGTATGAGTACGTAGTTCATCACTGCAAATGTTGTTGTATATTTTATTTCTATATTTTCAATAAAACAGATAAATATTTGTATTTCCTTGCAAATATGGCACAGGCTGATATTCATTTGCAATTTAACACTATAGTGCTGTTCCTGTACACCGCAGTATTCAATTTTCTATATCTTAAGTTTCAATAGAAAATGTATCTTAGCTTTCTAGTGATCTGTGTCACCATAATAACAAAATAACAATGTACGCAATCACTCTAGTTTGCTAGTGCAAATTCTTCGCGTAGAAGCAACTTATTGTTGTTATTGATAAAAAGAAATATATCATAATAATAAGTATCTCTCTTCTTTTAACTAATAGTGTTTATATACATTTATTGCAGTGCTTATCTAGCATTAGACAAAAGGCAATACCTATATTGATGTTAATAAAACTTACCTAACCAAAACTCATGGTAAACGTCACCAAAGCCGTCTCTGTATTCGTCCCATCCTCTGTATAAGTCAGTGGCGCCATCTATACGTCTCTGAAATACCTGAACAATGACACATAGTATGAATATATAGTGTTACGTAACTGGTATCCGTGACGTCATCATGGTCATTAACTGTGTTAGATATTTACCCTAATTATTCGGGTTATCGGCCGGTTTAGTTTGTGCGGGAATAATATGTGTAGTTTATGTTAAAACGTCACAAATACATCGCGTGTGCCAAACATCTTCACTGCCAAAGTGTACAGTAATTGATTTGATTGGAGCCTGCAAAGACTAAATATATCATAATAATAATTATCTCCCTCCTTTTAATCTAATAGTGTTTATATACGTTTATTGCAGTGCTTATCTAGAATTAGACAAAAGGCAATACCTATATTGATTAAACCTTGCCTAACCAAAACTCATGGGTAACGTCACCAAAGCCGTCCATCCTCTGTAGAAGTCAGTGGCGCCATCTATACGTCTCTGAAATACCTTAACAATGCCAGCCACATAGTATGAATATATTGTGTTACGTAACTGGTATCCGTGACGTCATCATGGTCATTAATTGTGTCAGATATTTACCCTAGTTACTCGACTTATCGGCCCAGCATGGTTTAGTTTTTGCGTGAATAACGTCACAAATACATCGCGTGTGCCAAACACCGTCACTGCCAAAGTGTACAGAAATTGATTTGATTGGAGCCTGTAAAGACTAAATATTACTCATTTCTTATTGAAGTGTTTGTCTAAGGATAGTTTGATGAGTGTCTGTTATAGTTATCAGTTTTCAGGTTTATAAAACCAAAAAAATTGAGAAAATATGTCACTTGTTTATAAAGATGGTCCAGACGTTTTTAGTAATAGCAGTTAAAGCTTAGTCAATATTTTAACAGCGAAGATATTGTGTTCGTCATGTATAACGAGAAGATATGAATAAACAAACCTATAACAGGCACAGTTTATGAGAATTTAATAAGTACAATGAAGCGTAAATATATCTCTGTCTACTGTTTTGCCTACCGTCCATCCTCCACCATCTGTGTCCATGTCACACCAGACTGGGGTCCTGTCCGTCCCCGTCACAGGTATATTATACACTCCACTCTGCGTACTCCCTGTATCCAACAATGCTAGACAGTCTCTCTGAAGTCCTACATGTGCATAAATGAAACTCATGATATAATTGTCTTCAAACAATATGCCACAATACGCAACCAGAAGACTTCTGATTTCTCATAGAAAAGAAAATGGCAAGCGTTTGCGACATATGGTATTGATACAGTTTGAAATATTTTACCTGATATCGACATGTTCTTTAACAGAGAATATGTTTCCTGTATTTCGGCAGCTATGTACGTCAATTTAGATGACAAACGTGATAACATCTCCTCCTTCTGTGAGTTAATACATCCGGGATCCGTCATGCCATTCTCAAAATTACACACCAAGAGCATAACAACCAAACGGTGATTCAGCTATGAGACATTCATATTGGTCTATTATAATAAATTGCCCACTTACTAATGATTTGCTGATTGAGACAACTGTTCGGAATCAGCAATAATGCTGGTTTGCAGCCCAAAACAATGCATCCGTTAACGTCACGGTAATCTGAATGAATATTTAAATTGGATACACCCTAGGTGGAAGACGTTATAGACATGTGTTATTTCGCAATACATTTCGTCTTTCGCGTGACCTTGGGGGCTACGTATGTGTAATCGATTTCACATGTTTTAAATATGCACGACATACGAATCAACCGTTCGTTAATACGACAGACCAGGAAGTGGCGACTATTTATAAACCTTAATCAAATAACTCTGTGTAGCAACTACTTGATAAACATTACCTTCAATTAAAAAATATAACTGCAGCTTACGTCGCGCATATCTTACTGATATTTAAACACCAAATGTCAACGCTTTGTTAAGGTAACGACAGACGAACACACAAACAATACTATGATTATGTTTTAAAATGCGTTTGCACAAAAGCTAAATAAACAAGACGTAATAATACTGTTTTGAGGTTGCAATGCACCTTTTCCTTTGTGTTTGACAGAAGTGATCCTAGATGACCGAGTAGTATATATTCGATTTCAAATGCAAGATATCTAACAGACGTTTTAATTAACACACTAGTTGGCTGTTTACATTTTCCTATTCATCCGTGTTTTTTTCTAATATGAAATTTCTTAAAAATTTAAAGCTCAACTTGCATTTACAGTCATAATAACCGCATCGCAAATCGGTCTGTTTTTATGTTTATGTTTGCGTATATATCTAAAATCGAGATTGTTCAGTCTAAAATATTACTAGATCGAAAACGTACACTTCTGATTTGAATATCTGTATTTAACTCGACCAATAAACAGTGACTAACGTGGAAATAATAGCTATTTATATGACGATGATGGTATACTGACGTAATGACTAGCGGAATGGTGACTGTAACAGATGTATATATAAGTAGTTCTTATTCAATGTGTATACTTTTTCATTTATAATGATTATTACGATCTTACTAGTCCTCATAATACGAAAGACGTGTTAACATTACCTTCTGTTTGTAAATGATGCCGGAATGAAAAACAACAATATCACTTTGGCGAACTGTACTCGTCCTCCGTGCTATAATAACTGATTATTTCTAACTAGCTGTACCGATCATTTCAACAATACAATATTATTTGATGAAGTATCTTACTTTTTTTTTTTTTTTTTTATACGTAATGAGTTTTAATGCAAAATATAAATAGTCTAAATGTAATGCATAGATTAAACTATGCGTTTAATAAAAAAATATTAATTTTGTTTTTGCATTTTTATTAACTAACAACAAAACAAAAATTACCTTGAGAATAAGTTCATTCCTTTTAATCATCAGGATGAAAACTTGAGAAGGAACTTGTATACCTTCCCCCTTGGTACCTAGATATGAGGAGGGAAACGGCATCACTAAAGTTAACAGGGCTGAGTGTCACTCTCCCATGAACGCCACCAGCTTGGAAATTCACTATGTAAAAGCTATTCGCATGATATTAGAACATTAGAATTTAATGTATTTAACTAGTTACATATCTACAATCTTATCAAAATATAACACAATGAAATGGACAAAACATTTAACGACGGGTACGTCTTATTTTGCAAACCTTAATTTCTGACGCTATATAGAGCCATTATCGAATAAATCCATAATAACTGAAAACTATTAATGATAATGTATTACATATAAAGTGAAAACAAATTTACCATTTTTGCTTACTTGAAAAAAGAATTACCGTAAGAATATTTTGTGATCACCGTATCAGTTGAAAATATCACACTTATATGGATAGGTGCATCAGCATTCGCAGCATTCCCATTCAAATTGAAAAAAACACCTTTTATGTATTTCTTACCATGGTTACGGGTTGACGAACTGAATGAAACAATAGGAAATCAAGTCTGGGTGCTATATATGTATTTGAAGAGACGCGTAAATAATTTGTTATTACCATTCATATGTGGTGAATTGTGGGAGGCCTAGAAGAACTGAAGAGTAACCTCCCTTTAAACATCGTTAAAGTATGAACAAATTGCATTGAGTATGAGAATAAGGTTTTCACATGTTTTCGGTAATGTTACCAATAATGAATACAAAAAAGGCGTAATCAAGCATAACAATTTTTTTTTTTTTTTTTTTTTTTTTTTTTTTTTTTTTTTTTNCATTTTTTTTTTTTTATAAACAACACATTTACACGCAAAGCAACAAGCATACATTGCATTGATTACAATTCCCTTCACAACGAACACCTCTTTACAAGAGACCAATTATATACTGTACACACATACACATACACACTCACAGGGGGGGGTATGCAAACTTTTCTGTATAGTATAATGATAATTATAATTGTTCACATTATTTTATAAGAGAAGCCATTTTTCTACTGTATTAAGCAATGCTATATTATTTTTTCAGTTTGTACGCTTTATTATCAAGATCTTATAAGATTTAAGTTAAAAAAGAATGTGATTCTTTAAACTTGTTATATTAAGTTCCATTTCTAGACATTTCATTTTAAAAATGTATTGTTTAATCAATAATAGGATAAGATTATCCACTATCAAATCAGCATCCTTAGAACTGAATTGTCCAAATATAAATTCCTGTTTGTCAAAATTCAAATCAATATTATTGGTTGCAAGCAATTGTTTAAGTTCTCTCAAAATTTCACATATTACCACAATCCCAAAATAGATGTTCAATTGTTTCCGGAAATCTTTTACAAAAAGTACAAGTTGAATTTTGTTTTATTCCAATTTCTTGTAGGAGTGTGTTTGTAGTTAAGATTCTATGGTTAATTCGGTATTGAAGCCATCTTAATTTAGTACTTTCATTAGTTTTAAAGGACATGCATAAATCTTTTTCCATATTTTGTCCTGAATGTTGAAAACCGTAGACCATTTCCTTTGTGACGTGGGTTTTGTATCATTTCGGCATAAAACAGCATAAATATCCTGTGCCCCTATAGTCCTCCTTAATATAATATTAAGATTTAAAGGTATATTTGGTAAACAAATACTCTTTTCTAAAGCAAAGATTTCGTGTTTACTATTTATTTACTGTTTTATAGCACTAATTATTCTATGAAAAGTTAAAAATGGGACCTTATATCATATCTATGTTGAAATGCTACAAAATTATAAAAAGAACCATCTTCTTTAATTACATCATATCGAGGGTTCATTGCCAGAAGGTGCTATCTGCCATTTTTGTCAAAAAACGTTTTTTTGCTCCATTTGATTTAATAATACATTACCCTTAATCTGTGAAAAAATCTGTACAAAATTCCAATTATTGATGAAAATAATTAATAATTACATAAGGTGCTATCTGAGTATTTCACAAAACCTGATTGCCAGAAGGTGCTATCTACTACAGTTAGCCTGCCAAAAGGTGCTTTGTCACAGATAGCACCTTCTGGCCGAACAGTTTGCAACCTGATACGCAGGTATAAGGTTCCAGTTAGCGCCCTCTGACATATGACAAATAAGTAATTACAAATAATAACAAAGGTGAAGTTAGTGTTACTAATGAAACAATATAAAAATAACTGGAGCTTCTTGGTATGGCAACAGATGACCGACATTGTTTGCATATTTGGAAGAAAATTTAGTTTAACTCTGTTCGAAAATGTCCTCTCAGTGCATAACAATACATCTGACATTCTGACAGATTAATGGTGTAAAACAAGGCAAGCACTTTCATGGCTGTTTCACATTTAGACTATATTACAAAGAACATGACAATGATACATGCTCAACAAAGATTGTCCCTCTAGATATTTCCCTCAGAAAATGGAAACACCTTAAAGGAAGAGGATCAAACTGATTTTTCTCGTGAAAATATCCAATACAGTGATCCAACGGACCCGATTATAAAGGATAACAGCAAAAAGAAAGGTAAACTATTTACAGTAGGAGTGATTCCGAAACAGCCCTATCTGAAATCGCCAAAACCATGGAGAAAAGCATGAAAGAAAAACAAAGAAAGAAAACTTTTCCAGCAATTCACCAGCGAAGGTTGGACGTTCTTTTAAAAAGCCATGGATTACAAAGGCTGGATATTGCAAAGAATAGCAGTTGCCTCTTTCAAGCAATTTCAACTCAACTGAAAAGGAGCAAACCTCGCAAAACTCTTAGAAAAGAAACTGCTTACTACTTGGAATGGAACACAATGAAACTTGTGTCACCCTTACAATAGAAGATGCACAACATAGACCAAATGTGAATTTGTTAGCTTTTGAAGTTACCCCAAAGAAAGGGAAAAGTGAACCAAAAACCCTGGAACATATAACACAACGAAAACAAGAAATTGTTTCAACACCACCAAAGAAATAACTTGCAAATGAATGTTAAATAAAATCTAAAACTGGATAACTGGAAAAAGAATATAAAGAAAAAATGATAGACAAAAAAAGACAGGAATATCTTAGTACTACAGGAAAAATTATTAAAAAGAGAGACATACAGTAACAAGACTGCAGCAAATGCAGACTTCCTCTCATAAATCTGGTGAAGAAAGATAGGAACATTTTAATTCATATTGGAATTTACAGTCGAATGATCGACAACGTGATTTCATTTGTGAACATGTACTTACACGAAAAACCAAATGGTTATAGACTGTGCATTCAAAAAGAAAGTATCAGGGTCAGTTTTCGACAGGTAGAGCCGTAAAAGTCCACACAATAGGACCCAAAAGACTGACAAAGACTCTGTTAGACAACACATCAAGCTATTTCCGACAGTTGAATCACACTACACCAGAAAAGATTCCAAGACGAAATAATTGAGTATTGACTTAACAATAAATAAAATGTATCCCCTATATAAAGAAAAGGAAAGAAAAAATCGCCAAGGAGTTGTTTCTGCCAGTGTACCGAAATACATTTTGCAACGAGTACAATCTGTCCTTTCGTACACCAAAAAGGGATCAATGCAACATCTGCAATGCATATTCACAGAAAGAAGCACTAGGAATAGTAGATGTCTGTCTGAAATACAAATATCAACAACACCAACAACGCAAATAAGAGGTAAGAAATGAAAGGCAAATGGACAAGATAGAGGAAGAAAAGAAGTTTCATGTGCCCACATTTGATGTGTTTACTTGTTAATCAGGCATACTAAAAGAGAAAACTGTGT